ATTGATCATCTTTCTTTTTTTTTTTTTTTTTTTTTTGCGATGGAGTCTAGCTCTGTCACCTGGGCTAGAGTGTCGTGGCATCAGCCAAGCTCACGGCAACCTTAAACTCCTGGGCTCAAGTGATCCTCCTATCTCAGCCTCCCGAGTAGCTGGGACTACAGGCACGCACCACCGCTCCCGGCTAATTTTTTTTTTCTATTTTTAGTTGCCCAGCTAATTTTTTTCTATTTTTAGTAGAGACAGGGTCTCGCTCTTGCTCGGGCTGGTCTCAAACTCCTGACCTCAAATGGTCCTCCCGCCTCGGCGTCCCAGAGTGCTAGGATTATAGGCGTGGGCCAGCTTGCCCAGCCAACAGTTGAAATTATATCTAGAGTCTAACAGCTTTTCATTTTCTTTCATTGATAAGTACTGTGGTGAAATATCTTGTGATACCACAAATAGATTCCAAATCCAATCGAATTTTTTAATGTCAAATGTAGTATTTCAAAATAATGATGATGATATAATTTGCTGACAGGCAGTCACTGTGTGGCTAGCTTGGATGCCGCTAAGATGGCTTATCAGAAGCAAACAGATGTAAGTATAGAACATATGTGAAGATACAGATTTGGGGCTGGTACCTGGAGCTGTGCCCACCAGCAGTTTCTCTCCTCATTCTCTTCCTTAGTCTCGAGTAGATGTCCTGGTGGTCGATCACCTCGTTGGGTACACTCAGCATGGAACAGTGAAGCAGCAAGGACCATAATTGCCTTTACTTCTGGCTGTCTTTGGAGACCAGAAGGCAAAATTCCAGATTCTGTTCTACAGGGTCTGTCCTATGAAAAAAAGCCCAACTAGGTTGCTAGTAGCTGGTGGTGACTGGCATGTGGGCTCTGTTGCCCTCAAGCTCTGCCTGCCTCACTGTCCCAAACCCTGTGAGGAGGATCAATAATTCTTGTGCTAATTATAATTGATTGGCAGCACCCCAGTGTGTCAAGGCCCATGGTTTAGGAAGCCCTGCTTTATCTTTCACTAGAACTATACAAGGGGATGGGAGAAAGGCTCACCATTTTAGGCCTTCACAAGAGGGGCTTCCCACTTGCCCTCACATTCTCTCTCAACCTCTCTCTCTAAAGTCTCTCTGGCATTCCCACCTTCTTCCTTGGGAAAGTATACTATTCTCCTGAAGAGAAGGAGTTCCAGAGTGTTCTGGTTTCTTTATCTGGATGCACATGGAGGCTTGTTGCTACCCAGGCTTGGTGGGCTTTGAGGCTGAGGCCTATGGGTGGCGCGGCCTGCCGCTCCTTCTGTGGCTACCCCCAACACCTGAGAAGCTTCTGCCGTGCTGGCACAGCCTCAGCCACCACAGCATCGCAGTGGATGGGGCTGGACTGCTGGACTCCTAGCAACTCTGTGTTGTAGCAACAGTGACAACAGCTGAAGAAAACGCAACTCCTAGGTGGACTGAGCAGGCTTCCAGTTTTTTCTCCTTAAGGCAACAGAAGCCAGTACTGACTCTTTGAAATGAGTAGACACCCCTGAGACTCACGAAACTCTTGTGAGAGGAAGCACCTTGGGGGAGGGAAGAAGCATATTCTAATGATAGCTAAGATGAGGGGCTAGGGATAATTTGACTAGAAAAATAATCAAAATTTGTTTTACTTCGAGCTAGATAAGTGGTATATATTTTTTTACACTTCAAATTTGTTCTTTTTCAAACTGTAATTGCTTCAAGTTATTATTGGCTTCTAGCACAACTGGCCTCAAGATAGTTGTAATGACATATTACAGTAGCGAAACAAAGTAAGCTGCCCTCTCTGTTAATCTTGCCTGTTGTGGACTTCAGATTTCATTGCGAACCTCACTTTCCTCAGGAAGTACTCTGCTAATCCCTGCGCTGGCAACTTCGTTAATCCTGGGTGCCCTTGGCAAAGCAGAATAGAACAAAACTTCTGAGTTTTTCTCATATTTGTTTGTCTGTTGAAAGTTGTAGGATTTAATCCACCAGTTGATCACTCAACTTATTGAAGTGCTTCTCCTGTGCCTCTGGCCTGCCTGGGGAACATGAAGAAAAGATCCAAGTACAAAGGAATGTTGGAACCAGGGTCAAGGCCCTGGGAGTTGCCTTCTTTTTTTTCTCCCTGGAATTATAAATATCATTTAGGTCATGAAACTGCTGCCCGGATTAATAGCCAAGTTACTGTCTACCTCAGTTGTGCTGGCATTTCAACCGGCCAGTATAGCTCTTCACTTTTTGTTAACTGTCATGCTTCCTCCTCTATGCTCCCTTAAGCACTTTAAGCTTTTCCCACCATAGCACTTACCACCCTGCTCACTTCTGTGTCTCTCCCATTGCACTAAAAACTCCATTAGGGCAGGGCCTCTATCCGCCTTGTTCTTCACTGTATCCCCAATACCCAGCTAGGGGTCTGCCTGGCATAGAGTCATCAGTCAATACATATTTGTTGCATGAATGAACCAAACTCTATTTGGCTTGATGACCTGAGCAGTTTTTTTCTTTTGTCTAAGCTTTAATTTCCCTGTCTCTAAGATGAGGACTATGTAGATATTCTCCAAGGTCCTTTTTAGTTCTGACATTTTACGGTTTATTTTTCTGAAACCTCAATGCCACTCTCAGTAGCATTTCTCGCCAATGACTTCACCTTTCACTTTGATGAAATTAGAATTGCCCAAAGTGAGATCTTGTGGTATATCCTGTCCATTTTTAAATTACTTGGCATAGTCACCTCTTCTCCCTTCTATTACCACTTGTTTCAGAGAAGAAAGATTTCTCCTTCCATCCAAAGCTACCCTTACAGCCATAATTCCCATCCTTCCCTTCTATTCTCCTCTGGGATCTTACTTTCATCTATTCATTCAAAAAACATTTGTTGAGCACCTACTATGCGCCACTGTACTAGGCACCAAGGATAGAGCTATAAGAAAGTCTAATCTCTACTCTAAAAGAGTTTATACTCTTACTCTATTGTATCTCTGCAGATGCTCTCAAATCCTTATCTTTGGCTTAGATATTAATACTTTTCTAAAGCTTCAAATGCTAATATTCCAAGTTTCTTTGGGCATCTCCATATGGATGTCCCATGAACCCCTCATATTATTTGTGACATATCCCAAACTAAACTCTTCTCCTTCAAACTGTTTTCTCTTCTTGTTGATATTCTTACTTTGGTTAATAATTCTATCATGGTCTAAGCCACCCGTATTTGAGACCCCAGAGTTATAGTTGCCTTCCTTCTTTTTACTGTCTGTGGTAGGCTAGATAATGGCTCCTCTAAAGATATCCACAACCTAATCACTGGAACCTGTGAATGTTAACTTATATGGCAAAAGGGACTTTGCAGATGTGATTAAGAATCTTGAGATGGAGACATTATTCTGGATTATCTGAGTGGGACTGATATAATCACAAGTGTCCTTATAAGGGAGAGGCTAAGGGAGATTTTTCCCAGAAGAGGAGAGGTCAGTGTCACCATGGAGGCAGAGATTAGAGTGATACAGCCACGGGCCAAGGAGTGTCAGCAGCTACCAGAAGTTGAAAGAGGTAAGGAACAGATTCTCCTCTGGAACTTCCAGAACCAGCCCTATTGACACCTTGATTTTAGCCATGAAAGACTCATTTTGGACTTCTGGCCTCCAGAGCTAGCTGTATGAGAATAAATTTTTATCATTTTAAGCTACTAGATTTGTGATAATTTGTTATAGCAGCAATAGGAAATTAATACATGGCCTTACCTTAAATCAGTTGCTAAGTCCTTTTTAAGTCTACGTCCATAATGTCTTCCAAATCCATTCTCCCCTCACTATCTCCACCAGTACTACCTAGTTCAAGGTCTCATTACCTCTACCCAGTACTACTAAAATAGCTTTCTAAAAACAAAATGTGGTTCCTAGCTGGTGTAAGACCTTCCACAGTTGTACCGTGAGCTTCCGCTCTAACACATCCAGAGATGAGGAGCTTCCTGCCTTATGATGCAGTCAATATTATTATTAGATAACTCAATTTGTTTGAAAGTTGTTCTTGTAACTTCTTTATATTAGGCCTAATTCGGCCCATCAGGCTCTTTCTGAGTCCAAGCCTCTATTTCTGTCTTCCCTGTGGAGTTAACTTGGGTAGGCTGAACTACATTTCCCAGAATTTTCTTCCTTGTATTTTTCCTATTAGGGTGGGCCACGAGAGAGAGTCTCCTGTGAGATCTGGAAGACAGAAGTGAAGCAGCAGCCATTTTGCTGCGAGAGTAGATGTTTAGTAATTGACCCATTAACATGGTTTCTGTACTGTCTGTACTAATCATCACCCTTCTCAGTTCACTGGATGCAGTCAAATTGGCACTGGGTACAATAGAGCATAAGGACTGGTGCAGAAGAGAAAGCTCATCACGTCTTTGGCTGGGATGCTGTGCTTATCTGAATTCAGCCTAGTGAGCTTGGACCACGTTTAAGAATGTGGTAGCACTAGCTCCATGATGATAGCTGGGCTCACTTCTGCCCAGAGCCTCATTAATCCCACAAAAAAGTCTAGAAATTTGTTTAGTTTTTCTTGAATCTGTTTCAGGGGGATGCACTAGCAGCAAACCAGTTGGGCCTGTGAAGAAGAATATCATAGCCCTTATCAGCATATCTGGATGGATATGCTGCCTAGGGATGTTAATTATAGAGAAATCAGAAAAAATCGGCAAAAAGATAATAAAAGCCCATAATTTCACCATCCAGAGGCAGCCACTGTTTACATTTGGGTATAACATAGTTTATATCTTTCCAAGTTTATTTTTCTTTAATGGACACGATTTTTCGAACTGGTGTTTATTTTCTGTCAGTCTTATTTCCATCTTGCTTAAGGGCCTGTGGAAGAACAGCTTAAGACCACTCAATGGTTGTTCCTACCCATTCAGTGGCCTGAGCAGTGGGAGCTGCACACCAGTCTTCCATGGCAGGCTGAGCACTCCAGTCTTCAGCAGGAACTGCAGAATAGGCACAGAGGCACCTGCACGCCTTCAGACCAGTCTGCAACCTCAGCTTGAGTAGTAGTGAACTCAGGAGCTGGAGCAGTCCCTTCTCCCTGAAATTCCTCCTTGGTCACAGTTTTTTCAACAGCAGCCTGCTCTTCCTTTTCATGTCTTCAGGTTCTCTGTAGGAGTAGAGATCAGGCATGACCTCCCATGGTGGTTCTTGGGAGATGGTGCCATGCATGGGCAGAACTCGGATCCACTGAGTCTGCTCCCTTGTTGTTGCATGGGATGGCGATATCCACATAGCGCAGAGGAGAATCTGTGTGACACAGAGCGATGGTAGGCAGCATAACATAAGATGCCTCTGTGAAAGGCTGCTGGTCAGCCCTGGGATCAGTAACCACCAGGAGACGCAGCTCCCAGAAGGCTGCCTGGATGTGGTTAGTGAAGGCTCCAGGAATGAAGCATCCATCAATAGGAGTGGCCCCAGGGACAGCAGCAAGCTTTAGCATGGCCCACTGGCCAGTATTCCTGGAGGATATGACGCTGACAGACAATGGCACATGCTGTTAGCAGAAGCTTCTCCCAGGTCCTCTTCAGATTTATGATGTAGATGCCATCACTCTTCCTTTAGTAGAAGTACTGTTCCATTTGGAAGTCAAGGTTGCTGCCACCTCAGTGGCTTCCTGCTTCAAAGAACTTGAGGACATCTTCCTCCTTCATTTGCAGGACATCAAGGGCTCTGGACATTGTGAAAGTTTCCCTTCAAGTTTATATCACGAATCCAGAACAATGCTGTGTGGACCCCTCTCTGGGTAGCAGGGAAAGGCTATATTCTTCCAAGTTTGAATCAGACTTTGCTAATGCTTTTTGACTTTGAGCAAGTGTTTAACTTTTCTAGCCTCAATTTCTCCATCTGAAAAACGGAGATAATAATGCCAATCTTGTGGGGCTGTTGTGAAAATCTGATAAGATGCTCTATGTAAAGCACCTAACCCATAGTTGCCCTCAAAATTGTTACTATTATTTTAACCAGTTTATTCCATTCCAAATAACAGTCCTAACCACTCTTTTGATCTTTGTTGTGATGCTTTTCTTGCTAAAAAAAAAAAAAGAGAGAGTATGAATATGAATGGAATAAGATTGGCCACAAGATGACTGTTGAGAATATGAATTCATTACATTATTCTTTCTGTGTGTGGTGTGTGTGTGAATTTTCCATAATAAAATGTTTTTAAAAGGCACACACACACACACACACACAAACCTCACAGAATACAAAAACAAAGAAAGAAGCCTTGCAGTCATATTTTGCCCCAATCTCTTGTTATAAACTTATTTTCTACAGTTTAGGACCTTGCAATGTGGGCTTGCAAGTATAAACTGGGGCCCATTACTAAGGGTATTTTGAGACACAACTATATGTCATGAGCCATTACTTTGGGTTACACAGTTTGTGGATAATGAGGTGAATGACTTTCCCCTTAAAGGGCATAAAACCTATGGGAGGTGGTGGGGGCAGCATGGAGGTCTGTGCAGGGAAGCTAATGTGGCGGTGACCTGATGATACCATTGAGTAGTTCTTGCTTTGCAGACCCTCTGGTACTGCCTAGTTGATCTTCTGCCTTCCTTCCATCCTGTGAGCTTCTCTCTACCAGCTCAGGAGGGCCTATTGTTAACTTTTCAGGAATTTTGTGAGCCAGGTGATGTCACATTGGGAGCTTGCAGTTGGCCATGGTGGGAGAATTTATAGGAAGGAAACCAGCAAACACTATAAATCACATCTTTTTTGCTCTGAAGAGCCAGTTGTTAAACATTTACCAGTGCAACACTGATCGTACCATTCCAATAAATTCCCTCTTTCCTCAAATGAACCAGTCAGATTCTGCTACCCCTCTCCTGGCTCCTCCAAGTAAAACAATTAGTAACAAGTATTCTACAGAGAGAGAACAGCTTGTTGCTGCTCCTGCTGCTGCTGCTTCTAAGTGCTAAATGTGGTGTAGCGTGGGGCTTTTTTTTTAAAGTCAGTGACTCCACAGATACTGATAAAGTGATTAATTTCCTTTTCTAATTGTCACACAGCTTTTTGGGGAATACTAAGTGACAGGTACCAGCACCAGGGGTCTCACTGAAGACAAAAGCTGCCGCAGTTTTTTCTGAACACCTCCAGCCTGATATATTCCATGATCTCATAACAAGACTCTGACCTTCTCTTCTTCAGTTTTCACTGAGATGGAGGACTGGCTGAGTTGCCGCTGACCTCTTGCAGATTTCTCAGATTTAATAGTTCATTGATTCCCATTGTCATTCGAATTCTCCCTCTAGTTTTAGAATCCAGTTTTTCTATGGCATTAAGGAGACCTGGGTTGTGCACTTAACTCAGTCACTAAGTCACTACTTCAACTTGGGTAAGGCTCATCTCTTGAAGTTGTGATCCATAAATTCACTCCGGGCTCTGGCATTCTGTAAATATGCTTATTGTTTTTGTTGTTGTTGCTAGAGTGATGGGACTACTACTGATTTCCCCATCCCAATTTTCTTTAGTGTTCTTTAAAAACTTTTATTTTTTTATTTTTTTATTTTTTTGAGACAGAGTCTCACTGTGTTGCCCTGGCTAGAGTGAATGCCGTGGCATCATCCTAGCTCACAGCAACCTCAAACTCCTGGGCTCAAGTGATCCTCCTGCCTCAGCCTCCCAAGTAGCTGGGACTACAGGCATGCGCCACCATGCCCAGCTAATTTTTTCTATATATTTTTAGTTGTCCGATTAATTTCTTTCTAATTTTTAGTAGAGATGGGGTCTTGCTCTTGCTCAGGCTGGTTTCGAACTCCTGAGCTCAAACAATCCGCCCGCCTCGGCCTCCCAGAGAGCTAGGATTACAGGCGTGAGCCATCGCGCCCGGCCTGAATTAGGTGATTTTTTTTTTTTTTTTAATTAGGTGATTTTTGAGTTAGATGAATTCACTCTTGCTCCGAAGGTTCAAATGACACGTAGCAAACTGTGAGAATCCTTCATTCTTTCCCCATTCCTATTTCTCTTCTTAGAAGTAGCTATGGTTATTACTTTGTGTGTTTCCTTTCAGTTCTTTTAAAATGCATTCACATATATGCATAAATACATATACATGAATTTAACACACACACACACACACACACACACACACACACACACACAGGTAAATGGGATCATACTACACATTTTGGCTTCCAACTTGCTTTCATGGGCTGAATCTGAGGAGATTGAGCCAGAAGAATACTGGAGAAAGGGGATTCATCTCTAACTCCCCACTTCCCTCTATGTGGCTGCCTGCAGTGTTCTCGTCTGATTTTGTCCTTCCCTCCAAGTCCTAAACTCCCTCAACTCCCAACACTATAAGATAAAAACATTAGTACTACCCATATGAGATTTGGGTGGAGGAAGAAACCAATTATCAACAATGTAAGGTTGGAATTTCTATTACCACAGGTTGCATATTGCAGGGTTTTGTGGTGCCATCATTTATTTAACCACTCCCTTATTGAGCATTTCTGTTTGTCTTAAGATTTTCAGTATTACAATCTCGCAAAGAACATCCCTATAAATACATCTTTTTATGCATGTGTGCGTGTGTTCGTAAGTTAAATTCCTTGAAGTAGAATTACTGAGTCAAAAGGAAAGCACATTGAAGAACTTCAAAGATTGCCCATTGCACACTGAAAGTTCTTGCTTTATCTACCACCAATAGCATATAAATGCCTATTTTTTCATACATTGTCGATACTAGATATTCTCAGTCTTTTTAAGTTTTGCTAATTTGATGGAGCAAGAATAATCTCATTGTAATCACCATCTCACCAATAACTAGTAGGTTGAACAGCTATATATGACAATTGATCATCTTTCTTTTTTTTTTTTTTTTTTTTGAGACAGAGTCTCACTGTGTTGCCCGGGCTAGAGTGCCGTGGCGTCATCCTGGCTCACAACAACCTCACACTCCTGGGCTCAAGCAATCCTCCTGCCTCAGCCTCCCGAGTAGCTGGGACTACAGGTGTGTGCCACCACGCGTGGCTAATTTTTTTTTATTTTTAGTTGCCTGGCTAATTTATTTCTATTTTTAGTAGAGAAAGGGGTCTCACTCTTGCTAAGGCTGGTCTTGAACTCCTGAGCTCAAGCAATCCTCCCACCTCGGCCTTCCAGAGTGCTGGGATTACAGGCATTACACCATGCCTGGCCTATACCAAATTTTCTTTATTCATCTGTTGATGAACATTTAGCTATTTCCACATCTTGGCTATTGTGAATAGTGCTGTAATGAACATAGGTGTGCTGATATCTCTTTGAGATCCTGATTTCAATTCTTTCAGATAAATACCCAGAAGTGGAATTGCTGGATCATATGGTAGTTCTATTTTTAGAACCTTCATACTGTTTCCCATAGCATCTGCATCATTTGGCATTCCTATCAACAGTATGCAAGGGTTCTAATTTTTCCTCATCCCCACCAATGCCTGTTGTCTTTTTTTTTATTACAGACATCCTGATATGTGTGAGATGATATCTCATTGTGATTTTGATTTGCATTTTCCTAATGATTTAGTGACATTGGGCATTTTTTCATGTACCTTTTGGCCATTTTTATGCCTTATTTGGAGAAATGCCCATTCAAATCTTTAGCCCATTTTAAAATTGAATTATTAGGTTTTTTTTAACTATTGAGTTATAGGAGTTTCTTATAATTTTTGGAGATTAGCCCCTTATCAGGTACATAGTTTGCAAACATTTTCTTCCATTCTGTAGGTTGCCTTTTCACTCTGATGATTGTTTCTTTTGCTGTGCAGAAGCTTTTTAGTTTGATGTAGTCTTAATTCTTTACTTTTATTTTTTTGCCTGTGCATCATATTCATGAAATAATTGCCAAGACCAATATTATGAAGCTTTTCCTGTTTGTTTTCTTTTTTTTTTTTTTTTTTTTTTGAGACAGAGTCTTGCTCTGTTGCCCGGGCTAGAGTGCTGTGGCGTCAGCCTAGCTCACAGCACCTGTTTGTTTTCTTTTAGCAGTTTTATAGTTTCAGGTCTTAAGTTTAAGTCTTTTTTTTCTAAGGCTGGTCAAGTGAAGCAGTAGGAGTGGAGAAGGAACAAAGGAATCTGAAACTGGTTGTGATCAATTAGTCGTAAACACCACTGCACTCGGACCAACCTGAAGTTTAAGTCTTTAATCCATTTTGAGTTGATTTTAGCATATGGTATAAGAGCAGGGTCCAATTTTATTCTTTTACATGTGGATTATAAGTTTTACCAACCTTGTTTGTTGAAGAGACTATCCTTTCCCCATTGTGTATTCTTGGCACTGTTGTTGAAGATCAGTTGACCATATATATGTGGATTTATTTCTGGGCTCTATTCTGTTTTATTGGTCTATATATCTGTCTCTATGCCAGTACCACACTGTTTTGATTATTGTAGCTTTGTAATATATTTGAAATCAGGAAGCGTGATGCTTCTAGCTTTGTTCTTCTTTTTCTAATTGACATATAATAGTTGTACATATTTTGGGGATAGATATGATATTTGTAAGTCTTTCTGTACTATTGAGACTAAGTTGGTAGTAATTAAAGCTAGGCTGCTAGTAATTAAGATGTTAATTGTAATTCCCAGGGAAACCACTCAGTAAGTAATTTAAAAAATATAAGTAAAAGAAATGAGAAAGGAATCAAAATGATACACTACCAAAAATTGAAACACAAAAGGAGTCAATAACAGATCAATTGAG